CCCCAAAACCCCAAAACCCCAAAACCCCTTGTGGCTCATACATTATTGAAAAATTATTAAATACTATCTTTCCACTCTGTACTTAATTCTGCCTCTAAGGAAAGGTCCAGAGGGATGTTTGTCACCAAGAATCTATCCAGAATAGCCTGGGTTTAGTCTTTGGTGAAGACAGATGAACATTTAGTGTGATAAAAGATAATTTATATATTGATCATTGTTAAAGATATATCTTGATAACGTCACCTAAGCCAGCTTATGAGCAATCAATATTTTTAAATTTGATGATAATTTTCATAATTTGTTCGAGTTCATGACCATGTACAAATACTTAATCTTGAGCTTGTGTCAGGTAAGGATACTAATCATATTGCACCTATCTTGCTTCTTGCTGCTGTTCTCTTTAAGGCGATCTCTTTCTAGAGTATAATCCAAGGCTGAATATCCATGTTTATTTTTACTTAGAAGAACATCATTATTACTATTATTCAGAAGAAGCTTAAGTAGAGTCTCTTTATTTAGACCCCTTCTTGACTCCCTCTTCAGCATTTTTCCAAATGAAGAAGGTGAGTGGATGATCATGGAACTCATGTTCTCCCTTCGTGTTGGGATGGAACTGGAGGTAAAAATCTTTGATTTTGTCTCAGTAAATTATTATTTGTAAGGCAACCTTATAATGACCCATCAATAGTGAGTAGTGGAAAGCTGTATAGGAGTAGATATCTTTTGAGAAAAAGTAATCTATGCTGTTATACACTCTTAATCAAGCCATGGTAAGAGCTATCTTAGTAGCCTGGCTTAATTGCTTATCCCTTATAATGTATACATAGAAGTTCCTGCTAGTGTGTTCGTCCTTAAAATTTACATCAGGCTTCATGTATAGGATATAATTCATGATTCAAGTTTTGATATATGTCTCAGTCATCAAGCGTTCCCTTTCATAGTTATTTATAAGCAAATAAGCATTAAATTCTAGAGAATGGTCCCTATATTTATTTTTGAGCCTGCCTTGAGCTTTCGTTGTCATAGAACTGTCCCCAGATGAAGTGATCCATGTTCTCCAACTGCTGTGTATCCACAAGATGCATCTCTTCATCGTCGCTTGAATTATGACGCATTAAAGTCACAAAATTAATTTATTAATTTCAATAGTTGGGAATTGTATTGGGGTTTTGGGGTTTTGGGGTTTTGGGG